CTCCAGGTGGGGCGAGTCCTCCAAGACTGAAGTCCCACTCAGCACTCGGTCTCTGCTTGACCTATTCAGCTGGTACAGCCTGGGAGCGGCCTTGGGAGGGCTTGTCAGGTGCTGGCCTCCAGCCCTCAGCACGGGTCCTGCACTCTATCCTGCCAGGCCCCTTGCACCGGCAGTTTCCCAGGTGGTTTCTGGGTACCGGTTGGTGTGAGTATCTGGGACCCCAAAGGCTGTGCCTGGTATGGCCTCCTGCCCCCATCGCTCTGAAGCCACGGGCCCTGCTCAGCCCAGGGTCCTGGGTCCTCCGCAGTCATGCCCAGTGCAATGGGAGTTTGGGGGACATAGGCACAGGAGTGGCTCACCTGCAAAAGCAGAGGGTGTGGGTGGGGGTGGACAGGGTGTACAGAGGTGGGTGAGCAGGCGCTCACTGTCATGAACCCATTAGCCAAAGAGCATACAGGTTAAAAGGGAAGGCGTGGTGTTTCCCTGTGATGCTGCCTGCACCTAGCTGCCATAGGTCTGAGTTACAGGGCACCCTCAAGCCACATGCATGCAGGGCCCCCACACCTGGTCCAGGGTGCCCATGGGACATGGCCTCCTGCTGTGTGGATGTCGGGCTGTAGGACACACTGTCCCCATTCCCAGCCTCTTCTTACGGATCAGCATTTAGAAAGTGCATGCAATGTGGTATCAGGAGCATGATTAATAGGAACTCACAGTGAAGGCACAGATCCCCAAACACACGGCTCAGCTCAGCTCTCCTATCTGACTGGTATCAAGGCCATAAATAAAAACAGCATCACAAAACCTCACAGCCCCCCAAAATCGACCTCCTACCTACGTTGTGGTTAACACATGACATGAACAGCCTCAAAAAGCAGGAAGGTATGGGATGCTGAGAGCCTGAGTGGAAGAGGAGCCTGGCCTCCCCACCCCTCCTCACTCACAAGCAAGGTCCACTTCTGCCTGGCTAGTCTCGGAGGGTGGGTGCTGCATCCAGTGCCCCTGCAGAGCCCAGTCACCTTGGGGGTGGCCAGTCTCATCATCCCCTCTGCCCATAACCTGCTCTCCAACTCGCCTGCTTCACACACTCCCACTGGGGCCAGGCAGGAGAGCGACACTTGTGTCAGGTGCACTCAGGACAGAGCACGGTGTCCATGCAGCTTCTCCTGCCCCCAGGGACTGCGGAGCCCCAAAGTCACATGGGGCTTTTGGCCCCCGACGTGGTCGATGAGCTCAAAAAAGCCAGGGCGGTCATGCACTGATCAATACCCTTACTCCAAGTAGTAGGGAGACACTCTGTGAAGATCATTATCTTACGTTCATTAGGTATGCAGGAAACCATTGATTTTTTTCCCCCGACTAGGAGAGGACACAGATTAATTGAGGGAAGTTTAGATTAGAGACATCAGGGACAGGGAAGTGAGGGAAGCCACACCAGGAACGGGGGTCCTGAGGAAGATGCAATGCGTTCTCCAGTTCCTAAAAAAGAGAAACATAAAAGGAAAGAAAGAGATGTTACCTTCTGAAGATAGTTTCATAGAAGGCAAGGAGCCCCAGAATGACTTTGGAATGTTCCAGCAAATCACCAGAACTGGTCCACATGGGACATGACGCCGTGGAGTGGGCAGAGGGTTTCTGCCAGACAAAGATGCGAGGACAGAAACACCTGGGTCCCCATATGCCCAGATGCTGCCATCCCACACCCCCACGTGAGCCCTATCTGAGCCCCATGTGAGCCTGGCCACACCCTCAGACTCACCCCCATCCCAGCACTAGGCTTGGCTTCCTGGGAACCCTTTGACTTTGAACGGAATGAGTTGCATGGCTTTCCTGTTACCATGTGTGTTTGCATTTGCTGTTTATGGAGACGTCACAGGCAGTGGCACGCTGGTCGCCCCATGCCATTAGGCAGGAGGCTGAGGTGTTACCCAAGCATCCCCTGGGACCTGTGCCCATTGGGACCGGCCATGGCACATCCGTTCCTATCAGGAACCACGGCAGCAGTGCAGCAGGCTTCTTTCCCACTATCAGGCGCCGGCGAGGCTCCCACCCACTCTCCCGCCAGACCCAGTGTCTGTCTACACTGAGTGTCTACCTCATTCTTCCCTCGGGACAGAGGGACGTGGACACAGCAACCCCAAAGCAGGACAAGACAGATGCATGAAATGGAGTGTCCCAGGGAACTGCCCGACACCACCTCCAGTTCTACTGTGTACAGGCCCCATGTCCATGGCATGGGCTGCAATGGATTCCACAGCCACAAAGAGGAGGAGACAACAGAAGCAAGTCGGGGGCTCTGCCAAATCCACCTCCTACAGCCCCCGGCCCTCCACCCTCCACAGCCACAGTGACACAGTGGCCAGGGCCCCACAGACAGCAGGGCTCGCTGTGCCACCCGTGCCTGTCCTGTGTGATCACAGCCACCCTCTCCTGAGCAACCCCATTTGCAACCCACACTACTGGGACACGTTTCAGCATGATGGCTTTAATAGCATCTGCAACAAAAACCACAGCTAAATGAAGGGGGGTTTCGTGCATTTTTATTTTCCCCAGAAATGTAACTCACTCTGGCTTCTGCTTGAGCTTCGACTGTGCACTAGGAATTATCTAAATAGGAAACACATGTATTGCCTCAAAAAGACAGTCTCCTGTGAAACTAGGCTCCTCCTGCAAGGAAGGGAGCCCACATCTGACCAACGTGCTGCCCGTGCCCAGGCACGCCAGGCCTTCCTAGGCCCTCCCAACCCCATACCTCAGGTGACTGCTTCCTCCCACTCTGCCACTGGCCTTGATGCCAGAGTCCTGAATGTGGAGACTGTTCCTCCCGGTGTTGAGCCACTAGGCTTGCTGGATCTCTAACAATGGCTGCACCCATGCAGCCCCAGGGGAGATGCAGCCTGGACGGCTGGTGGGGAGCGCCACTCACCCTCAGCTCTCTGCAGTCACCCGACCACCTCCCCATCGCTCCCAGGCTTTGAGGCGAAGAACACGCCACACATGGCAGGAGTGTCTGATGTGTGGACACTTGAGGGCCTCTCCAACTACATGACCGCCATTGCAATTAACAGGTAAAATTCCTACTTTTTCATCTTAAAGCTTTGTTCCTACTTCAGTCTAAACACAACCGTGGGTTACAGCGAGCGTCTCGGATGTGGACACCTTTGCGGGGTGTGGGAGTGGGGTGTGCTCAGATCCTGCCAGTCTCAGCCATGTGCCCTGAGGCACTCAGGAGGATGGCTAGGGAAGAATCAGGTAAGTCTGTCTTTATAGTATTGGGCTTTCTCAAAAACCCCGAGACCCCTGGGTCTCAAAAACGAGACCCAGGCCAAGAATCTCACTTCTGGAGGCAGTGAGTATATCTGAAGGTGACTAGGAACCTGCAGAGTGAGCTGGCTACACCTACCAGGCAGTGCTGTGTGTGCCCTTACCAGAAATGACTAAGTGAGGCCGAGAGGAAAAAGTGACAAGCCGCGTCCACTTGAATTACCCCAGAGCAAAGATCAACACATTTTTCCCCAAATAAGCTGGCCTCAAAAGAGTTTATGCCTACACAGACACATAAAGTAAGAATTGGTTTTTAAAAACAGGCTTAAGAGACAGAGCATCTTTATCCACCTCCTTTTTTTTGTGGGAGCCACCCACAAAACACTCCCTACAAAAACAGGGCCAGGCCTGACAGAGCCCTAGACCCACCTGCCGACTCAGAGGCTCAGGGACAGGGAGCCCACGCCCTGCGTGGACACAGAACTGCAAGATCCAAAGTGCACAGTCTCAGCCCAACAGACAGCTTCGCTTTTTCAAGGAATCAACTGCAAGGGAAGATGAAACGGAAGCTGCACCTGGAGATGAGCTGTGTGTGCGCCACACACCCTGTGGGACACACTCTTCAGTAAGGGCTCAGCAGGTTGGAGCACTGCCTGGATACTGGATGGTGCTGAGAAATGACTTCCTGTTTCCTAAGGCAATAGTGGCAGTATGGTTCTTTCTGAATGGCTCTTATCCTTTAATGATACATATGGAGATATTTACAAACGAAGTGATATGATGACTGGGTACAGCTTCAAAAATTGCTTGGAAAGCCAGCATATTAGCCAGCAACCTCGGGACAAGACAGGAGTATTTACACTGAACATTAAAATTCCAGCCTCCCAGGCACAAAGTGCTGAGCCTTCTTAAGAACCAGTGCTCAGCACAGGAGGGTTGAGTGAGCCATGCACCTGACTGTGCATGCACTCATACAGTGCACACACATAACACGTAACACACAGCAGGCATGTACCTGCATGCACGCACAGTATACAGAGTACACATGCATGCACATGCACAGCACACACAGACACAGAGTACACATCATGTACAGGTATAGTGCCTGCACGCTCCACACACAAGACATACACATACACACATGCCCATGCACAGTACACACAAGGTACACATACAGCACATATACATGCACAGTACACGCAACACATACACCACATACACAGCACACACACGTGCATACATATACAACAAACAAGGCACACAGGTACTCACAGTGCAAGTATACACACATGCACATGGACATATACGCAGTATAAGTACATGCATAACATATGTACACATAGCACACATGGTACATATAAATGCACAATATGTGTACAGTACATGCAGACTACACACAGCATGCACATGTACATGCACAGTAAACATACACACCTGTGCACACACACACAGACACGTACAATGGGTGCAGGTGGTAGCCAAGGCAGCTATGTGTGCATACAAATACAAATGTGTCTGAATGTGGTGCATGTTGTGCTCCAGGAAGTGTGTGGACCTGGGATGGACACTGCCCTTCCTCCCTCCCTGCAGCTGCCGAGTGGAGGCCAGCAGCTCCTCCTGGGTGCAAGGCCAATATGGATGACCCAGAGCTTGTTTGTGGTCAGAAGGGTGAGGGGAGCAGCCTGTGGGAAGACTGGGACACAGCGCTGGCTGGCATGGCATTGGGGACATCTTACCTGGGTTAGTTCCTGGGTATCTGCCTCGGAAAGGGCTGGCAGGCTTGTCTGCAGGTGCAGTGCTGTGCCCTCCTGGTCTACTATGGGTGGCTCATGGTGCAAGGTACGGCCCATCAGCCCAGATGCTGCAAGGAGAGCAGATGGTCAGCGGTGAAATCTCTTGGAGGTGCAACAACCCTTGTGTGCTCTGGATGGCGGAGCGTGGTCTTTGAGGCGGTGTTCCTCCTGCCACCACACGCAGGACTGCTTCCTCTCTCGACCTCTGCAAGCCTTGCCTTGCCACCCGGCCCCGAAGGATCAGGATCTGCAACACTGCAAACACATGGTGGCCACTCTGTACCTCTCAGAGTAAAAGCCCTACATCCCAAGTGGGTTTGTTTTGTTTTGGTTTTGTTTTGATAAAGGCTTAAGATTTGTAGTATAAAACACAAGAATCATTGAACTCTGGTGAAATGCACGTCACACACGACTGGGAAACTGCAGTGACATCTGAGCTACTCTGCAGAAGGCTGCGGTTCCGGAGAGCACAGGAAGTGGCCCACAGCCCGGGCCAAGCACAGCCACACGTCTGCGCCACCGAGGTGGGAGGTGAGTCAGAGCTGCCCGTGGTCAGGCTCAGAGAGGACCTGGGTGTTTCCACCCTGCAGTGAGCCTCGGGGCTCCAGGCTACCTGCCAGAGGCAGTCTCGCTCCACAGAAGGTGACCCAGTGTGCCTCCTGCAGAGGCCACCTGCCCTTTATTTACAGAGCAGCTTCAACGGCAGCCTTGACACCCTGGGGCCCAGATAAGGGCGCAATGTTGTTTGCTCTTCTGCAGCACAGGCAGCTCCCCCACATCTGGTGTAGCTGTCATTTAGGAGGATGCCAGGAAACAGGCAGGGAGAGTGCAGTTGCAGTGCCAGCTCCCGATGGGGCAGGAAGGCAGGTGGGCGGCCTCAGCATCCCTCCCAGGGTCCTACCTCAGCCAGCAGAGCCTATGCCCTCCTCACTCCTGATGAATGTGGCAGCCCGGGAGCAGTGGCCGAGCACGCCCTCAGAAAAGGAGAGGAAAGGGGGGATATCTGGGAGTGCACTCTTGCTGGGGCTGAGGGCACATCCCCTCTAGCCTATCACCCCCTAAATGATCCTTATAAGCTCACCTTCCAACTCTACCCTCCACAGGAGAGATGCCACTTCCAACACGCCACCCCCGCCAGCCTATCACCCCCCAAATGATCGTGACAAGCTCACCACCCCTGATAGCACCCGGCTGAGCAGAGAAGGAACAGCCTTGCCCAGGGCCACAAGGGACTGAGCACAGAAATGACCCTAAAGAGGGAGCGGCTCCAGGCCCAGCAGATGGGTGCAGGTGCGAGTGGGGAAGTTGGGTGAGACTCAGGTGGGAAGTGAGGGGCTCCTTTCACAGACAGTACCAGCGGGACAGATCGCCCAGAAGGCTGTTTTCCTGTCCCACTCTTCAGAAACAGAATCTGGTTGCAACCAACCACAACAATTTTACAACGTAGGTTTGCAACACACAAGCTGTATATGGGTGCTCTCTGGGGAGCTGCGGCCCACTACTGTGCTTCTCTGAATTTGTACATTACCCGTGGGAGCCCGCAGGCCCTGACATGAAGCTGCTCACTGAGGAGCCCTCTGAAACGCTGAGCCATAGTGCACAGGCCAAGCTAGGCTGGAAGACACAGCCACAAACTCAGAGGATGCGTGCCCCTGGTGACCTGAGATCACAGGGTGGCCCCCATCCACCTCGCAGCACCAGCACAGCCTAGGCCACAGGAATGGAGGAGCATAAACTGCCCAGCCTGTGCTGCACCAGTGCCCCCTTCCTCCAAGAGTCCCACACCCCACTCTGCCCTGCCCAAGGCTCTCGTAGTCTGGTCTGCAGTGTGCTGCCTGCAGTGTGCTGTGTGATGGTCTACAAGACTGCTACGTGCTCGTGCCCCAGATCTGACTTGCTGGGTGTTGGGAGCTGAAGGACCATGTGCTTTCCTCTGCATCTTCTTGAGCTGCAATTCCCTGGCTACGACATCGACTTTAAAAAAACAAAACAAAACAAAACAAAAGCTATTTATTTTGTAGAGATAGCATGTCCCCAGGTTGGTATCAAACTCCTGGCTCAAGTGATCCTCTTGCCTCCACCTCCCGAGTAGCTGAGACCACAGGCACGCAGCACTACAACCTGCTAACTTTTGTGTTTCTGTTTGTTTTGAAATGGAGTCTTGCTCTGTCACCCAGGCTGGAGTGCAGTGGTGCGATCTCAGCTCACCACAACCTCCGCCTCCCAGGTTCAAGGGATTCTCCTGCCTCAGCCTCCCGAGTAGCTGGGACTACAGGCGCACATCACCACACCTGGCTAATTTTTTTATTTTTAGTAGACATGGGGTTTCACCATATTGGTCAGGCCGGTCTTGAATTCCTGACCTCGTGATTCCGCCTCTGCCTCCCCAACTGCTGGGATTACAGGTATAAGCCACGGCGCCTGGCCTAATTTTTGTATTTTTTTATAGAGACAGGGGCTTGCTATGTTACCCAGGTGATCCTGTCTTCTGCACCCAAGTGATCCTCCCACATTGGCTTCCCAAAATGCTGGGCTGCAGGCATGAACCACCGTGTCCAGCCCACACAGGCTCTTAAGGGCAGAGCCCCTAGGCCTCCCTACCTAGGACATGGCTTTCATTTCAGCACCTGAGGCTGCGTGACAGGGACACTCAGGCCGTTCTGGAATTTTAACAAAAAGGACTTTGCTTAAACACTCAGAAGGCTGGACAAAGCGCTTAAGCGTCAAGCCACAATGTTTCTGTTGGGTGTGGCGGCTGGGGTCCTGGTGAGGCTGCATCCCGCCATCTCCAGAGCCACAGTGCTTGTGGAGCTGCTGAGTCACGCTTTTAACATTTCTTCCAGGAAAGCTTAATGTGGTTCTGTAAGGATGGTGTCTGTCTTGGCGTCATGAGTGACTGCAATTAAACAAAAGCATCACAGGTGGGTTCACAGCAAGAGGGGTGGGGTGACTCGACCGTCTGGGAGTTACCTTGCTGGCCTGGGGGTGTAGGAAGCCAGCCCAGGAAGAGCCCAGGGCACACTGTGGGCTGCAGAATGTCTGAGTCAGCTGGAAAGAGGGTGCCCTGAGGCCAGAGGCCCCTGTGCAAAACACAGCTCCGTCTTCACTGCCAGTGCTGATGAGGGGCTGCCTGCACCTGCCTGGGAGCGGGGATCTCGGCTGCCAGCCTGTCTTTCCCCAGCAAGTCCCTTCCCTCAGTCCTGGCCTCCAACACTCACCTGTCACCCAGGAAAGGCCTCTGCTAGGCCTGGTGGGCCTGTGAAGCTAGCACACAGGTAAGGACAGCATAGGGAGCTGAATGAAGGAGACAGCAGCTTGTGTGCTCCATCTCCCACTCGACTGATACGTGCACGCAGGTGGGGGCCAAGCAGCTTCCTCTGATAGGCTCTAGGCCAGCTGACGCAGTAACCCCAGGCTCCCCAGTCAGCCCATCCTGGGCCCGTGGTGCCACGGCAGGCTCCTGGGTGCTTCAGCTCCAGTGGGAACTTCCCTGCCTCAAAAGACGCCTGGCACTAATGACCTGCAGAGTCAACCTCAGCCACCCCGATGCTCTGGTCCTTTACTAACTGCCCACTCCACGTGCCGGCCTCCTGCCCTGTCCTGCTGCTGGTGCTGTTGCGCAGACAGACACATGGACCAGGGAAGCAGAGGTACAGGAAAGGCTGTCATCAGACAGCTGCAAGCCCAGGCAGGCCTTAGCCCCAAGACAGGCAGTGAGTGACAAAGAAAAAACTCAGTGAACAAACAGCCTTCAAATATGCTGTGCACAGCAGGGTGAGGCTCACGCCTGAAATTCTAGCACTCTGGGAGGCTGAGGTGAGAGAATCACTCGAGCCCAGAAGTTCAAGACCAGCCTAGGCAACACAGCAAGACCCCCATCTCAAAAAAAAAAAAAAAAAAATTAGCTGGGCATGGTGGTATGTGCCTATAGTCCCAGCTACTTGAGAGGCCGAAGTTACAGTGAGCTATGACTGCATCACTGCACTCCAGCCTGGGTGACAGAGTAAGGCCCTGTCTCTACAAGAAAAAAATAAATAAAAAGAAAAAGAAAATACTGTGCATGTCCCTTGGTAGGATGTGTGGGAAGGAAACCTCACCCTGTGGCCTTCCTCCCAAACCACAGCCCAGGCTGACTGCAAGAAAATTTGAGACGGAGGCTGCTGTGCAAGCCCTGGCCCGGCCTCCAGAAGGCCCAGAGACACGTGAAGAGCGTGATCGTGCGGCCCTGGGTGCTCCTCGAGGCAAGGACGAGTGTCTAGAATAAAATAAAATTTGCGTTCAGCACACAGCCCTGTAGAGGTCTCTGGAAAGGCTCCCTGTCCTGGGTGTCCCTCCCTGACAAGCGCCCATCCAGCGTCGTGAGGCTGCCACCCTGTGGCCACACGTGCACCAGCGCTCATCCCAGAGGCAGAGATTTCTAAGACATCCGTCATGGTTTCCACCTCCAGGGAGCCCACAGTTTCCAGCTGAGAGCAGTAAACACAAGGAAGCTGGCACAGAGTCCCTGTGCCGATGCATGGACAACAGCAGCAGGCAGCAGGCAGAGGCAAGACCTCAGAGCCCCGAGTGCCCCACACACTACTGAGCTCCCAGCAAACGGGGCGCCGCCTTCTTGCTAACACAGCACCAGGCAGGGCACTGCACGCTCCAACGCCTGCACGGAGCCTCTCCAAGAACACCCTCTGGAGGCACAGCTGCCCCATGAGACCAGCACCTACCTGGACAGGCCAGGTTGCCCATAGGGGTGAAAGTGAGCACGGAGAGGGGGCACAACAGTCCCCCACAGGAGGCATAGTCCATCTCACACATGCGGCAGGTCCCTGTGGGACGATGTGCTGCGTGTGCCACGTGGCAAGATGGCTGCCCCAGGTACTCGAAACACCACGGGCCAGGTGCAGCCGTGCAAGTGAAAAGACGGTGCTCGCTGTGGCTACAACCCGCACTCAGGTGACCTAAACTAAGGGGGCCCTCCTAGCCGAGCAGGAAGGGTGACGCCATCAGTCCTGAATCCTGAATGCACATTGAGGCCCCCAGAAAAGGTCATGATTCCCCTCTGACCTCAAACAGCACAGGTTGCAGGAACTCACTTACAAACACCAGCCCGCAGAACACAGGAGTGCTGGCCACCACGGTGCAGCCAGGTTGGCGACATGGCAGGGCCACTAAACACACTGAGTGCTTCTCTACTGGGACCCTGGAGAGTAGTCCTGAACTCCACAGAATGTCACAAACTTCCCGCCTGAAGCCATACCCAGGGATCCCTCTTCAGTCCCCACACCACCAGGACAGTCCCCAACTCCACAGCACCTCCTCCCTGAAGCCATGTGCAGCAGTGCACCTGTGCCATTCACCTTGAATGTGGGTGAAGACCTCCACTTCCTATGCTTCTGTAGCCTGTCTCCCACTAGGACACTCGGGTTCGGGCCTGCACTTCAGTGACAGCAGCTCATGGTGACCTTTGATCTCCCCACCTTGATCAATGGATTTCGTTACATGTCACACCATGTGCTCCATTCCATAGAGATCAATGCCTGTCTTTGCAACCCCTGACTTTAAGGCATACACAGGAAGGTGGTAGGTTCTCTGTGATTCAACCACATGCTGCATATCTAAGGTGTGCACCTTTCGTTTTTAGGGTGTGTGTTCAGCCCTGGGGCTCATGGGACTCAATCTGTAATTATGTGTATTTCTTTCTGAAACTTGAAGCCATTTGGAATAGAAAGCAAAACATTTTCGTATTAGAGAAACAGGTTATGGGAACTGAAATCTTTCTCTCAAGAGAAAAATTAGAGAAATTGAAAGGGTAGCAAATATCTCTTCCTTTTAACAGACATCTGGCAATCAAAATCCCTAAGAGCACAGCTTTACATGCTTTACATATAGACACACCTTAGAGTGTGGATGTCCATGTCACATACATGCACAATACATATGCACTGGTACACGTGTACATCATATGCATACATGCATGCGTATTAGCTATAATGCTAATATTAGAAAATGGAGTCTTTTATGACATTGAGATTTCTTAATCAGAGCTTGAAGACAAACTGCAGGGGAAAATTCGTGGATTTTACCATAGCAAGATAAAAGATTCCTGTAAGGGAGAAAGAGAGTCTAGAGGAAGTGGCTGCAGCTTCTAAGCCAGCCAAGGCTGATGGTCCAGGATAGTAGAAAAGTCTTGCACATCTGTCAGGGAAGAAAGCATATGAGGAAAGAAGAAAACACAACACGCCATCCATAGAGCAAAACCTGCAGGGCCAAAACAAATACAATGCATCAGAGGCCCCACCTCCTAACCAAAGAAAGGGTAAAGGCAAGAATAACACCAAGGCGCCACCAGCGTCCCATCAGACAGGCAGGACCATGGTGGCTCCTAGCACATGAGCCTCGGTCCTGTGCCAGGGAGGAGGTGGGCCAAACGTGGGGGACATGCCAAGACGCAGGGTGTCTGCCCCTCAGTCCGGCCCCGAGGACAGGACAGCTGAGTGTTCACAATCTACAACGGAGTCTGCAGGAAGGCACCGTGGCCACTCCACACATCTAAGAATGCCACAAACACACAGAACCACACTGCACAGTTCTCAAACACACATATCCCTAATAGCATGTCTGGGCGCCAAGCTGGGAAAACCTAGATTAAACGTCCAGGGAAGCAGGAGTAGGCAAAGTAGGGGTGATGGGAATGGCCCCACCAGGGGAAGTGAGATGGTGCCAGTCACAATCCTGAGGTGCTGGTTCCCACATCAAAACGAGGGGAGATGAGAGAGACAACAGCAGGAGCTTCCTTTTGCTCTGATGCACTCATTCTGAAAGCCCTTACTGTGTCGTAGAAGGTTCTGCATCACCATAACTGAGCACCTGAGACTGGGTAATTTACAAAGAACAGAGCTTTAGTCAGCTGACAGCTCTGTGGGCTGGGAAGTCCAAGGGCATGCCCTGGCTTCCACCAAGGACTCTCGTGTTGTGGCAGAGACACTCAAGAGTGGAAGCAGACATAGGCAAAGAGACAGAATCAGAGGGGCATCCTGCCTCCTAACAACTCACTCTTGGGAACTAATGCATTCCCAGAACTCATCCAGGCTTCCCAGAGGAAGCATTCACTACCACGAGAATATCACTGAGCCACCCAGAGGGCAGAGCCCTTGTGACCAAACACCTCCTAGCCCTGCCACACTAGGGACCAAATTTCCACCTGAACTTCGGTGAGGACAAACTGTATCCGAAGCATGGTACCGACCTGCTTTGGAATCCATACACCTATCAAGTGTATAGTTAACTCTCAGTGATTTCAGATTCACAGATGTCAAGTACAAGGAAAATGGTCTGGAATTGTTTTCATGTATAAACAAACGAGCTGTCTCTAGCAAGCTGGAGGCCAGCAGCTGCTCTAGGTGACGCATCTGTTAGGCATTTCCCACAGGCGTGCTGAGTCTGGCTGTAATTTTAGAAGTCTGTGCACGCGCTCACTGCCTTGTCGGTCACTAACCTGCATGCCAGACTGAGCAGCTCTTCTCTGCGGGGGAAGAGGTTCTTGTGCTTCTGAGCACCAACGCATCTTCTAACAGCTCCATCTTCTTGCTGAATTGCACTTCTAAAATGGGGATAACCTCTGGCATCTTGGCAGATATCAAACGATAGGCCATGTCTGGCTTTCCAATAAACCGCTGGCGGATGCTAATTTCATAAGGTGAGTAGACCTTGATGTCATCCACGTCCTCTCTTTCAAACCTGTGCATGAGCAAAGAACTGGAGTCATGTATTTCCAACCCAGACACAAGGACAGTGAGCCTCCCTGGCTTAACGTGAGACTCTGTTCTGTGGGAAATAATGGCAGGAATTTTTATCAGTATCCTTTCTTTCCCAAAGGGTTCACAACTGGTCACAGGGACACCTTCCCTAGGCTTTGTTTCCGGTGGCGTCTTCCAAAGCTTGGAGCTAAAGGGCCACCAAGCAGGAGATTCCAGTTCTGTCAGCAATCTGAAAAAGCAAACAAAACATGGAAAACTGGATCAATTCATGTTTAAGGAGTAATACCTTTTTTTTTTTTTTTTGAAAACTGTTTTAACCTTTGTAAAGCATGTTGCCATTTTACTGTACTTCATTTCCACATGCACTCCATGAAGCAGGAGGCACAGGGACTTTTATCTCCAGTGTGAGAAGAGAAAGCTGGGGGCCACGGCAGTGAGAACATTCATCCACAGATGCAAAGCCAACCAGCAAAAAAACAGCAAAAATGCACACCTTCTGCCTAGAATATCGCTCTGCCCACACCATGCTGCCTTGACGGGTCATCTTGATTCAAAATAAAACCTGTACTTACTGTCTAGGGAGCTATCTAACAGACCTTTCTGCTGTGATGGAATGTTCTACATCTGCGCTGTCCATACCGTAGGAGGCACATGTGACAACTGAAGCTCTGCCTAACAGGCTCCTTCCCCCAGCCTCGGCCAGACCCAGCATTAGAGTGCTTCCCCACCACCCACACTCTCAACGCCCACTCTCATCCGCATGCTCCAGATTCCTGTTGGTGCCGACGGCACCTCCTCCTCAGAGTACACTTTGTACCCTGTCTTTCAGCCTCTGCTGGAATTGGAGTCTAGTTGAACATCTACAGGTGTGGGGACAGGAGCTGAGGAGAACCCAGCACGTCTTGCAGGATGAATCTACTTAGACTGGGAGGAAGGGCTGCCTCTACTGGCCAGGAAGTTTCTGCAGCCTTCAGGGACTCAGCGTCCCCAGCTTCTGCAGGCTGCAGTCACATGTCTGCACTGGGGTTCTCAGGGTCCCGTTCCGTCTCGGTCACGCCCTCAATGTCACAACAGATGCCATGCGCAGTTAGAATTCAGCCACCTGCAGCAGGAGACTCCAGATTCTGTTTTCAGAAAGCTCTGTCCTGCAACTACAGGAGCTAAGGGCTTCCCTTGGGGCAGATCCAGAAATGTCCAGGCTGTTCCTGAAGCACCCTGAGCTCATTTGTTTCTTTCCCCATGCTGCCCAGAGGGGTGATTGCGTCAGTCAGGATTCTCCAGATAACAGAATCAGTGGGTATGTCGGGGGGAGGGAAGGATGGGCTTATTTGAAGGAATGGCTCCCATGGTTGTGACACTGCACCTAAGCTAACTGCCATGGGCCAGCCTATTAGAATTATTAGCAAGATTACAGGGGGAAAATCATGGCTACTTTCACTAACTTCCGGTTGAACATGGCATTTCCTTCCATCCTGAATGTAGACAGCTTGAGTATTAGTCGAACCTTTGTCTGTCACCAACAGAAATCTCATCACATTAGTTACTGCAGATCTCAATATATCACATCAACCCCTGCTTTAAAATAACTGCAGTTACTAGACCCGCCGTTGGCTTCAGTATCTCATACATCAATAGGAAGACATCATATGACCTCAGCCTGCACTTATTATAGGCCGTTCTTAGTCAAGATTATGTATTATTACCCAAATTAAAACAAAAGGTGCACAGTCAGTTTGCTCACCGGCATTTGGGATTTTGATGAAGGTAGATGAGTGAGCACTCCGTGGCTTCCTTGCCCTGACTTACCTCTAACTGACTAATATTTGTGGTGCAGTAGATGGATGTGAAATGTCAAAGTGGTAGCTGCACCCAAGATGGTCTGTTTTAGTTGCCAAGAGCAACACTCACACGTTTTCTTTTACAGGGATGACTCCTAGCACTATAGTGAAGGTCTAGGGATGAACGCGGAGATTTCTGGTTCCAAAATCATACTATAGACACCAGCTGGCTCCACTCCTCCCACTGAAAACCAGAAACAAAGGCACAGCACCAGCAATATCCCAGAACTCAAATGTGAGAATGGGATGGCCTCTGGGGCCACAGAGAAAGGAACAATTCCGAACAGAGGACTAAGGGAATTGACCTTCCACATCCGAGACACTCCTCACCTGGATAAAGTTCCCCTGACTCACAGTCTCTTATCTGGAAAAAAAGAGATCGAGGTGAACAACCTGCTTCCCTGCCTTCTTGGGCTCCCTGGCAGGAGGCATGCTCCTACCTCAACCCATAGGAAGCACTGCCAAGGAAGAAACGGCCCTAAGCACAGCCAGAAACAGTGGGGCACGGCAGGACCAGGACGCTCAGCCCTGGGTGCTGTGCACAGTAACTGGGCCTAAGGAGACACCTAGAGCAGCTGTTGGGCAGTACTACACCACGGGAGGTGTAATCCCCAGGACCCCATGCAAAGGCCCTCGCCAGCCTCTCCACACGATTGGGACATCCCCTCCTAGACCTACCCCATTTCAGACAGGCAGCGCCCTAACTGTTTGCTGGAAACACACGTGGGCAGAGTCACCACTATCAGGGCACTGCTGAGGATGGTCGGAGGCTTCTGAGCAGACAGAAGGACAGGCAGGAGCCTGATCTAAATGGCTGGGGCCGGGTCCAGAAATATTCTGTGTATCAAAGTGGCACCTGGTCACGCACAGGGGATTTTCTTTTCTTTTCTTTTTTTTTTTTTTTGAGACGGAGTCTTGCTCTGTCACCCAGGCTCCAGTGCTGTGGCACGCTCTCAGCTCACTGCAAGCTCCGCCTCCCGAGTTCACATCATTCTGCTGCCTCAGCCTCCCGAGTAGCTGGGACTACGGGCACCCACCACCATGCCTGGCTAATTTTTTTGTATTTTTAGTAGAGACGGGGTTTCACCATGTTAGCCAGGATGGTCTCGATCTCCTGACTTCGTGATCTGCCTCCCTCGGCCTCCCAAAGTGCTGGGATTACAGGCGTGAGTCACCGCGCCCGGCTGGGATATTCTTAAAGGTGACTAATTTGCAAATTAGATCTTAAAGGAAACTGATATTGAAAAAGAAGAAGAAAAATCATACTCATACCTAGGAATCTCAAAACTGAAAGGGGACTGAAGGTCCTCTGGGCCAGTGTCCAAAGTGAGTCACGTTACACAATCCAACAGAGATGAGAGACGTGCTACTCATGTGATAACTTACTAGGCTTTCAACAACTGTATATAGTCAGAAATGTTGCTTTTATTAAGCCAAATTTTCTTTCCTATTATTTTACCTCTGTTGATAAAAAACAAAACAAAACAAAAACAAAAAACCCACACTCCGTAATATATTTTAAGAGATTTATTCTGAGCCAAATGTGAGGACCATGACCAGTGACACAGCCTCAGGAGTCCTGTGAACATGTGCCCAAGGTAGTTGGGTTACAGCTTGGGTTTATATGTTTTAGTGGGACATAAGACATCAATCAATGCATTGGTTCAGTCTGGAAAGACGGGACAACTCAAAGCAGAGGCTTACAAGTCACAGGTAGATTCAAAGATTTTCTGATTGGCAATTGGTTAAAAGATGGTTTTCCCCTGGCGTTGGGCCACTCAGTGGCCCAGGTTCTCCTCCAATTGTCCTAGACAAACTCCATGTCGTTCTGCCAGTTGGTGGCCTGCAGGCGAGCCGGTGCCTGTCGGTGCATTCCTGTCACCTTTAGTTAAGAGTTATTATCTAAAAACCTGGAATCCCAGCATGGGCACAAAGTGAGACTCCACCTCTACAAAAAAATTTAAAAACTAGGCTGGGTACGGTGGCTCACACCTGTAATCCCAGCACTTCAGGAGGCTGAGGTGGATTACTTGAGGCCCAGGAGTTTGAGACCAGCCTGGCCAACACGGCAAAACCCTGTCTCTATCAAAAATTCAAAAATTAGCTGGGCATGGTGGTGTGTGTCTGTTATCCCAGCTTCTTAGGAGGCTGAGGTGGGAGAATTGCTTGAACCTGGAAGGCAGATGTTGCAGAGAACCAAGATCACGCCACTGCACTCCTGACTGGGTGACAGAGCAAGACTCCGTCTCAAATAAAAGAAAAAAGAAAAGAAAGAAAAGAAAACTGGCCAGACGTGGTAATGCATGTCTGTGGTCCAGCTATGTGGGAGGCTGAGGTGGGAGGCTCACTTAAGCCCAGGAGTTGGAGGCTGGAGTGAGCTGTGATTGCGCCACTGCACTCCAGCTCAAGTGACAGAGTAAGACCCTGTCTCAAAAAGTAAAATAAATAAAAACCTGGAATCAACTGAAAGGAGTGTCTGGGCTGGAGATAGGGGGAGGCCAAGGTTGTTACGGAGATTAGGTCTTATAGGTGGCTGCATTGAGAGATGACTGATGGCAAGTGTTTCCTATTCCAACCTGCAGGAGGAGGAGGGCATAACGAGGCATGTCTGACCCCCTCCTTCTTTTCATGGTCTGAACTAGTTTTTCAGAATTACTTTGGAATCCCCTTGGACAAGAGGGGATCCATTCAGTCAGCTGGGGTGCTTAGGATTTTACTTTTAGTTTATACAACTAAAGGACCTAGTTTAGCTTTCTAAAGAAAAAGGTCTCAAGTGACAGCCATCAGTTATTTTAGGCAGTCTTGGTCAGCTTTCCTCTCCAGGCAAAATACTTTTGATTCCCTCTCACAGGTTCTGGTTTTAGTCCTCTCAATTTCCTGTGACCCCCTCATTTCCTCAGTGTTCCCCTCAAAGGCCTACAATGCTCCTGTGCCTCCTGAAGGAGCAGGGCAGGCCACCAGCTCTGATCACAGTGCTGTGAGGTGACCTGCCAAGCACACAATGACATGGGTGCACACACTTTAAAAATCTCTATATCCAGCCACTTCGGAAAAAAGCATGGAGGCTCCTCAAAAAATTAACAAGGAACAGTTTTGGAAGTGCTGGAAAGGGGAGGGCGTGGTCCCTTTAAATGATATGGAAGAGGGGAAGGGAAATGCTGGGTAGAGGAGGGCATGGTCCCTGACTAGGGCTCCACCCTCACGGACAGACAGGCAGGCATTTTTGTTTTCCTGCCCAAATGCACTTCCCAAGACCACCCTGGCCTGCCACACCCCCATCCTGTGCCTATAAACACCCTGAGACCCTAGCAGGCAGACACACAGGTGGCCAGACATCAAGAGGAGCACATCAGCAGAGGGACACAAGGGTGGCTGGATGTTGACAGGAATG